CATAAAGCGGCCATCGTTCTCCACCTCTGCTAAATAAATAAATCCCTATTGGTCGGGAGCAACAACAGAACAAGGCTGGTGCCAGTTGGGCTTTTCAGGAGCCTCTTTGGGGACTGTGACCCAGGGTTTAATGGGGAGGGGGGGATCTAGAAAGACTCTTATCAAGCCCCTTGCTTTACACCCCCCCCCCCCCCAAAAAAAACACAACCCTCCTCCTGAAACTATGTTTTTACTTGCTGTTCTTTCCTCTCCACTTCCCGCTGCATCTGCAGGAAATCCTCAGCCAAGGAAGCCGCCTGAGAGCAGGTCTCGGGTTCGTGTTCCCGGACCCAGCTCTGGATGTCCGGGGGCAGGATGGCCAGGAACTGCTCCAGGATCAGCAGCTCCAGGATCTGCTCCTTGGTGTGTCTCTCCGGCTTCAGCCACCGGTGGCAGAGATACCAGAGCTGGCTGCAGACCTCACGAGGGCCTTCGGCCTCCTGGTAGCGGAACTGGCGGAAACGTTGGCGTTTCATCTCCATGCTGGCCGAGTCGTCTCCCAGAATTTCTTCCTTCACCTTCACCATCCCCGATTCCCCAATTTCTCCCGCGTCCAAGAGGTTTTGGGGCTCCGAGCTTTCCTCGCTCAGGACCACAGGGTGCCGGCTGGCGCGGCCACCCCTGGGCCACAGGCGGGTGACCGCCGGCCCCTCCGCGGAGGGAGAGAATCTCCGCCGGTCTTGTAACTCGGTGGGGCGCAGTAGACTCCTCCACCCCGAACGAGGGGAACGAGTGGCGTTGTGATGGACTTTGTGCTGGGCCGTCCTCGCTTTGAGCAGCCTCTCGTTTTTTTCTCGAGAGCGGCGAGAAGCCATCGCTTTGCCCCTCCACTTTTCCTCCGGATCCGGCGTTTCGGGCTCCTCGTCTTCCATTTTCGCTCCGCGGGGAGCTCCCTGCTCTGAGGGACCTTGGAACTGAAGGCTCGGCGTCGAGGCCCGTTTTGCAGACATCCCTGGAAAGAGGCTCGCAAAGGGCCTTCCCTCCCTCCCTCTCTCTCCAAATGCCAGAGATTCGGGAAACGAAGGGCCACAACTTGGCAACGGGACTGTTTTTCCCAGAAGGAGAGCCTGAGAGGGATGGAAGCTTTGTCTTAAAAGGGCACCCCGAATCTCCAAACGAATCAAATCAGGGGTCTTTTACCTGAAGAATGGGAACAAAAACAGAAGCGGAGAGGGAACTAAGAATGCCTCAACAATTTAGCCACCCCAAATCCCTGTTGGAAAAAAAGTCGGTAAAGAAGTCAACACAGTGAGGCTGGCTGGGGAATTGTGGGAATTGAAGTCCACACATCTTAAAAGTTGCCAAGGTTGAGACCAAGGAGACAAACCTCAAACAGAAAGCAATCCTCCTCCTCTTTTAATGACCCCATAATCCCTTGCGGGGTTGTTGTGGTTAGCCGGCAGCAGGTGCAGATGGCTGAGGAGAGCAAGGACTCAGATGAGGGGCCAGGACCATCAGGGAGCGGACTGCTGCCTTCATAGATTGTGGGGGCTGGCAGCAGTGATGAGGAGGTTCCCGAGGAGCCTGTGCCAAGTGCACGTGCACGAAGGATTACTCGGAGGAAAGAACAGTTACAGCAGCACAGGCGACTCGGGAGTAAGGCTGTCAGCTAATGGCCCCTCCCTCAAGAGGATAAAAGCCAGGTTTGAAAAAGCATTCTTTGCAGAAAGCAAAGAAGCTCTGAAGCTCAGCTTGTGGACATCTTAGTTTGTGTTTGGAGAATCTTGTAAATTAGTTCTTATCTCTGGGTTTTTGGCAGCATTGATGAACAACTCGGCAAGGCTCTTTCTTGTCGGAGCTAATTAGTGGAAAGCAACCTTTTATCTGTAAAGGAACAGAATTTGTCATTAAACCTTAAAAGGTGGGGGCTGCTGCCTTTGTGTTTGCTCTTTGGGAACCTGGTTGGGTCAGAACAAGGGTGGAGTCTGGGCAACTGAATGGAGCTGAGTTTTTACTGGCCAGATGCCCCTCCCGTTGCCAATGCAGAGTTTTGTTTTTTCCAGCAGATATTTTCTCAGTATGCCAAGAGAGAGAAATATCTGCCTCTAGCTAAGATTGAACTCTCAAGCCTCCTGATTGTGAGGCGAGAACTCCACCTCTAGGCCACCGCACCACTCATCAAACAAGTTTATAAGAAATGCAGGCTGTATGTAGCAGCTGCTGGGAGCAAATGTGACATTATCTTGTGTTGACTTTGCTTATCTGTGTTCCTGGCTGGGAAATGTGAGTTTTGCCGTGCCTTCAAGTCTGGCATTCTTGCTCCTGTCCTGCCAAACTAATTAGCTCAGTTGGGCTTGATTGGACTTCAGATTACAGTTTTTGTTGACCATGTTTTGGACTTGATTCCTTGCAGTTAAAGGCTGTTCCTGGGAGAGTTTTTCTCCAGCCAGAAGGTAACCTGGACACTGGGGGCAAAGTTGGAGCTATTAAAGGGACTCTTATTGATTATCTGACTGTGTTGCCTTTGTGCCACGTCCTGGGTCATCACAGGTAGTCCTTGACCTGTAACAGTTCATTTAGAAGTTACAACAGCACTTAAAAAAAATGATATATAAACGTTTTTCACACTTGCAGCTTCCCCATGGTCATGTGATCAAAATTCAGAGACTTGACAAACTGGCAGTTGCATATTTATGACACTGGTGATTCCTGTAGCAACTGAAAGGGCGCAAAAATAGGGCAAACCTCAGTTAACAACTGTCTCCCCATGCGCAGTTTGTCCTTTTAACCAATCCTCCCAGCTGCAGCCCTTGAAGGGGATCAGGGCCCCTTCCTCCCCTGTAGACCATGCCACTCACATTTCTCCCTTATCTGCTCCATCCTTGTGTGCCTTAGGATGAAGAGGGAATGGGCCTGGGTCTTCCTCTGAATGCCCAGCCAGCCTGTGCCCTTCCCCAGTTTCCTCCACAATCATCGGAGCCACACTCCCACTCACTGTCAGCTGCTCAATCTCTCCCTTGGAGTCAGACTCCAACAGAGGCATGACAGTCGTAAAATGGTCAAAACTCACTTTAACAACTGTCTCACTTAGCAGCAGAAATCTTGGGCTCAGTTGTGGTCATACGCCAAGGCCTACCTGTAGCTAGTTACAGGTAGTCCTCATCACCACAATGGAGTCCAAAATTTATGTTGCTAAGTGAGAAATGGGTTAAGTGAGTTTTGCCCCACTTTATGACCTTTCTTGCCATGCATGTTAAGGGAATCACTGCAGTTGTTCAGTTAGTCACATGGTGGTTCAGTGAATCTGGCTTCCCTGTTGACTTTGTTTGTCAGAAGGTCGCAAGAAGGTATCGCATGACTCCCAGGACAGTGCAAAGGTCATAAATGTGAGTCAGTTGCCAAGAATCCAAATGTTAATCATGTGACCACGGGGAGGCTGCAAAGATCTTAAGCGTGAAAAACAGTCTTAAGTGACTTTTTTCAGTGCCGTTGCAACTTCAAACAGGCACTAAATAGACTGTTGTGGGTTGAGGACTACCTGTAGATGATTGATAATTAGATTAGATTAGATTAGATTAGATTAGATTAGATTAGATATAGATAGATAGATAGATAGATAGATAGATAGACAGACATATATAGAGATAGACATAGAGATAGATAGATTTAGAGATAGATATAGAAAGATACAGATTATATCTATATATCTAACAGATTATATCTATATATAGATATAGATAGATATAGGGATAGACAGATTTACTGTAGATGTAGATAGATAGATATAGATATAGAGACAGATATAGTGATAGACATAGAGATAGATAGAGATAGACATAGATGGACAGATAGAGATATAGATAGATATAGAGAAATTTAGATAGAGGTAGACATATAGAGATATAGATAGATATAGTGATAGACATAGACGTATATACATATATACATTGATATATACATATATATATATACATAGATATAGAGATAGATAGATAGAGATAGATAGATATAGAGATAGAGATATTTAGATAGAGATAGACATACAGATAGAGATAGAGATATATATATATATAGAGAGAAAGATATATATACCTAGAAAGCTAGAGATATACAGACAGACAGACAGACGGACAGATACCTAGCATCTGCAGGACATACTAATCTCTATTTTCATCTCAGTTAACGGGTAATCAGGGGAAGTATGTTACTGTAAAGGAACCCATCCACTGGATGACATACAGCCCTGAATCTTGACCAGCCTGTGACCTTGTCCAGCAAAGCTTTCCTCAGGTTCGTGTCACTAAAAACACAAAAAGCTGTTAAACAATAAGCAAGAGCCTTGCAGTCCTTGCAGTTGTGTCCAGCCCACGTGTAATGGGAGCTTACCTAGTTTACGCACCCCGCAGGGGTCCCCTTATGCTGAAACCTGGCATCTTCTGGCCATTCTTATGAAGTTCAGAGCTGGAAAAGAAGCACACGAAAACGCACAGGTTAGAACAACGTTTCTCAACTTCAGCCACTGTAAGATGAGTGGACTTTGTTAGTATTTGGGGATAAACCCCTAGCAGAGTATGCAGCAGCAGTCAAGCCAGGCAGCCAAATGAGAGAGGAAGGGTTTTAGAGTATACACACACTGAACACAAACACTGTTTGTAGTTTAAATAGTTTTTAATCCAGTTAGAGTTTAGGCATTGTCAGTCAGTCCGTATGTCATTCACAATATATCCATTCAGTAAGACTCACTAACTCAGTCCAGATAATAGTCCTTACTATATCTTTATCAGCTGATAAAGATATCTTCTCCTCCTCCGATGCCTTTCTCCAGAGGATAACGCTGGATATTCAGTAGAACGATCAAACAGTAGACAGTCGCAGTAAAACAGTAGTAAACAGTTGTATCCAGCAGTAAACAGCAGTAAACAGTAAACAGCAAACGGTAAACAGTAGGCAGTAGTCAGTAAGTAGCAAGCTTTCTCCTGCTTCCTCTTATTGCAGTTTCTAACCGCACCCTTAATTGGCTAATTACATACAGTGTGGTGCTTAAAGTTACAAACACTTAAACTATGATACCTTAGTTTATATATTTATCCACCCAAACCTTGTTGGGTATCAATGTTATACCTAACAGACTTCAACTCCCAGAAGTCTCCAGTCGGCCTAGGACAATGGTGGCTAGCCTTTTTGGGGTCCTTTTGACAAAAATTGTTCACGTGCTTGCACGCTCGTGTGCCAGCAACCCAAAAGGCAATGCGCTCCACCTCCTACGCATGCGTGCGCAATCCCCACCCACCCACCCTCACCATCCCCTTACCTGCACTGCGCCTCACAGCTGACTTCCAGCCAGTTTGGAGCCTTCCCAGAGGTTTGAGGAAGGTTTCTGCAGGCCGAAAACTAGCTCCATTTCATCACTTCTGGTATTTTCAGAAAAACAGGAAGTGACGAAACAGGGCTAGTTTTCGGCCTGCAGAAGCCTTCCTCAAGCCTTTGGGAGGCCGAAAAAGGCCTCAAACCGGCCGAAAATCACTTGTGAGGCACGCGCGTGTGTAGTGAGGTAAGTAACTCACGTGCCGGCATAAATGGCTCTGCGTGCCACAGGTGGCATGCGTGCCATAGGTTTGCCATCACAGGCCTAGGAAACGCTGGATTAAGAGGAAAAACCCCGCACGCACGTAAGAACACCTATTAAGGAAAAGATCCAAACGGACAAAGACAGGCACCAATGGGGAAACCTGCAATTCAAACAGGTGACCCACTGGCGATGTTACCTAGTTTGGTAATGAAATACCTGCAAGAAAAAACCACCAAGCTCAGAGAGCATCAAGGACCCCACAGATCTCCCACACTATTTATAAAACAACAGTTCAAACATCGCCTGATTCAACAGCTTTTCAGGCCACGGTGGGACATCCATGTTCTGATCTAGGCTGTAAATTACGTTCATTCACAGCCTGCAAGGCTTCACAAACAGCCTTTCAGGGGAATGTTTATAAACACCCACCTTATCGCACTTGGAATGCGGCCACAGAACTAATTGCCAAATGCAGAGCAAGACCAAACTTGACAGAGAGTCAAACAGAACTTTTCAAAGCTTGAACCGACCAGACAAACTAATTGCTTCCTGAAAAAGCTCACATCCCGTTCGCTCCTCTTTTATGCCCTATGGGAGGGGCCAATCATCTCCAAGGCGCGGGC